CTTTGTGAACGACAGCCAGCTCCATGCAAAATACTGCTCAACCCCAGAGCCATCAGGAACCCTCCACACTATAACCCTTGTTGCGTGATTGACTCTTGATGAAAAGTCCCGTCGCCTTTCCATGCCAGACCCCAAGCCCGTAATTTAAGGTAGTCCTTCGACCCCAACCAGACCAACCTTGCACCGACAAACCCTACCTCTCAAGCCAACTTCGCCCTATAGTAATCCCTTATGCAAGCCCTACTGGTGTTCGGCCAGCGGGAAGTGAGCCATTTCCTAGGCTGTACATATTCCCGTTTCAAACCCTGGACGACTAAACTGCTCCTTAACTCTTAACTCCTCACTTCTGTAGCCGTCAACCGAGTAGCCGGAAACTTATATAATTCCTCATGCGCTCAATTCCTGAAGGCCTCAATCCTTACAATCTCAACCTCCGACGTAGAGCATCCCAGCATCCCTGACTCGGTAAGAGTCCTTCCTTCATTGAAGCCGTAAACTCGGTTTTCACCCTCACCTCTTCATCCCAAAGTTAGTCCAGTACTGGTCCTCTAATACTTCGGCTCGCAACTGGTAGTGCCACTCCCGCAAGTCCAAAACCCAGAACCCAGTATCTACCAGCCATATATCATATATCTGTCTACGTCGCATCAATTAACCTCCATACACTTGCAAACGCCATTTCACGTCGTAGTGCAGAATGCCATACCAATCATGTTGTATCATGCCGCACCGAAGCATGCTGCAACACATCATTGTGCCATCGTATCACGTCTTGTCGTTTGATCTCAAAATCATGCAATTATCACATCGGATCATATCATGCATATCGTTTCAATTCAAAACTTGTCATAGCACTAGCATTGCATATCACATCATGTCGTGTCATACCGCATCGTGTCATGTCGGCAAATAACATAGCATATCAGACCATATTCCTATCACTGTATGTCTTACCTTACCCGTATCATATCCTATCATACCGTCTTTCGATGCTAAAGCCGAGGCAATCATGAGCTTTGCTGCCCCCCGGCGTCTAAATCTCTGGACCTGTTCGGTTTTGCAGATTGGTGTTTAAGGGCTTGGGGGTTTGAATCTAACTGCAGGCTATTTTGCCAGCAGCTTTGTTGCGATTGCAACCGCTGAATATTTGTTGTAAGGCCGCTTCGTCCGAAGACCTGGTCTCCTAACAGCGGTACGAGTACTGGCACACGTACTATTACCAGTATTCGCATTCGTAATCGCAAGTAGCAGTAGGAGCACGAGTACACAAGTAGGAGTAGGGTTGATACTGTTTCTCTTCCATGCATGGGCTTCTGCAATGTCCGAGGATCGGATTGCAGTGCTTGGCAATGGCTTGCAGACGGAGTCTTGGAGTTCTACCTAGTTTCTGCCAGGTGCAGTATCTTCTTGTCAATTTTCCCCGACGATGAGCACAAGCCTGTGTTGCAATACTGTGGATTACGGTGTCACCTTCGGGGAAAGTGTAAGCCGGGCATGGTGGCTCGGAAGTAGGTTGCCAAGCACGCCGTCGAATGGCACACGTCCCAAAACTACATCGGATTGCCAAAATCGAAGTGTTCGTGTCAAAGTCCAAGGGACATTGAGGTTACTTTTTGAGTAGCAAGCAATTACAGCTTACGACTGATCATTGCCCTTAGTGAATGGAGGAATTGGAGGTTTTCGTGTTGCACAGGCTACCACTGAGTATATATACATATATGTACATACATATGTATGTTTAGATGTATGAATATATATATATATATATATATATATATATACAGTTTATATATCAACATGTGTATATATTTATACATGTGTATGAATGAAACGAACAAATTCCACATGTAATATTTGGTGTAATATTTGGAATTTGGTAAGCGCACACGGCGCCTTGGCGAGGGTGACACCGTCGCACGGAAAGGCCAAGAGAGTCACCGTTTGCGGTTTGGAATGCACATGGCACCTAGGCAAGAAGGCACGAAACCTGAAACAATAACCTGTCGGCCGAAAACAGTCCACAAACCTACGACACCTTTTGGTCAATACCGCAGTCGACCCTCCGAAGACTACCGACTAAGGACGAGTTCCCAGCTCTTGACACTCAGACGCATCCATGGTTATAGTAACCCTAGCAGTCACCCCAATCGTCATAGGGGTTCTCATAAGCGGTCACTGTCACAGTCTTCGTAGCGGTCGTAGTTTCACACTCACTGTACATGTACCGTCGTTACGAGACTTGAAGATGTGAAGATAGTCAGCCGAGTAGAGCAATGGTTAGTAGCCAGCACATGTCAGCGCAAGCTTTACTTTCAGAACTGTTCAGCTTCGCAGTGGTTCCGGGCTTGGGCTTGCGCGGTGTAGGAGTTTAGGCAGTTTCCACCGGGTTTCGAGGTCGAGGTTCTCAGGGCTCGCGGTGTCAAGGCTGTCAAGGTGCCGGAAAGGCTGCCCTTTGCATTCAGGTCTGGGACTTTGTATTTCAGCGTGCTGTTCCATCAGGCTTGCCAGAGTGGAGCTCCGAGTGTCGCAATGTAGCCTGCTTGTGCACGGATACACGATACTCCGATTGCAATGTTGCGAGCTGCATTGTTGCCGGAAGCGAGAGTGAGATTCACGACAGGTGGCTTCGTTTATTGCGGAGCCTTCTCCTTCATCCTGGTGGAGGCGACCTCGCATGGACTTCTAAGTTCGATGGAGACATGTCACTATACGTGTAAGTCATCGGGTCGCAACAACACGAAAAGTCATCTTGTCAGAGCATCCATTGGCATCGTGCCTGATTGAGGGGACGGTCTCAAGTGAAGACCCCCCAGTGCTCCGCTGCATTCTATTGTTCAGGGGCCAGGCCCCACGCCGGCAGCGCTGCCGGCGACACCCGCGCCAGTTGTGCGGCCTCCCTTGATTCCGCCACCACCGCAGTGGCATCCTGTCCTGATCTGGGAGCTGCATGTTGATTAGCAGCGGGCTTCGCGTCGGGACTGAGCTTTGAAGCTATAGTACTTATGCAGTGCAGACCTTGTGATGTGCATAACTACCAATGTCATTTTCGATCTGAGGAGCTGCTGAGTTCTGCTTCGGTTTTCATGGGGCCTCGGTTTCCCGAAAGGAGCTGTCCTCTCTTACACAAGTCGCAGAGCCATGCAGGTTCCCGGACTGCTTAGCCCGCTTGGAAAGCAAATGACCTGGACTCCAACTTGGGCACATCCGGTTGCACGGGTGTCCGGGAAGCCTGTCACCGTCGAGCTTGCACCCAAGGTACGCGTGACAGGCAACACCGCTTGCTGCGATGACATACCTGGGATGCCGGGGCTTGGGGCGGAGACTTTGAATGCTTTGGCATTTCGCACCGGGTTGGCTGTTCGTTGTCGAATAACTTCTCAAACATTAATTACAACTAGTCAAAGGCAAGTCGGCATTGGATTTACGCATCAAGGTGTCTCTGGCTAGTAGGTGGCGTTTCAAGGTGGTAGAAGCGATCCTGATCGACTGACAGTGCAGAGTTTGCCTTCGACAATAGCATCTGCGAAGTTTCACGGACTGTGTTGTTTGGACGCCCCGAAACTCACGCTCCACGAGCCAATGCACCGTTGCCAACCCCTACATGTCTGAACTGTCGTACATCCCGGCATGGAGGTCCAAGAGCTCAGAGTGCAGCCCGAAGAAAAGTCAGAATTCTTGGATGCAGGCTGGCGCTCGACCTGGCAGCTGATCATGAAGCATCGCGTGCTTTTCTGATTAATTATTGTAGCTATTAAAGCTGCTATACCACCACTACGACGACTAAGAGTACTACTACTACTACTACTACTACTACTACTACTACTACTACTACTACTACTACTACTACTACTACTACTACTACTACTACAACTACAACTACAACTACAACTACAACTACCACTACAACTACCACTACGACTACGACTACGACTACAACTACAACTACAACTACAACTACAACTACAACTACAACTACAACTACAACTACAACTACAACTACAACTACTACAACAACTACAACTACAACTACAACTACAACTACAACTACAACTACAACTACAACTACAACTACAACTACAACTACTACAACAACAACAACAACAACTACTACTACTACTACTACTACTACTACTACTACTACTACTACTACTACTACTACTGCTACTGCTACTGCTACTGCTACTGCTATTGCTACTGCTACTACTAGTACTACTACTACTACTACTACTACTACTACTACTACTACTACTACTACTACTACTACTACTACTACTACTACTACTACTACTACTACCAGTACGATGGCCACCATCGCGACATTGCCACCAGTGAGAAGTAGGGAGAGTAATTCATAATCATGAATATTCGTCATTTAAGGTTTGGTCAAAGTTTCACCCTGCCGTCGCCGAGGCTGCGACCGGTGACTTGCAAAAAGGTGCTCCAGTAGCCGCACAACTTCAAATCCCAGCTAAGGTGAATGCCTCAAGCATCCAAGCTCGCATACTGGAAGTGCACCAGGCTTTACGTTGCGAGCTCCAGGCAACATTGAATTATCAGCCTTGCACCTCAAAGCCGCAGTGAAACGTGAAGGTGCACGTGCTACACCCAGCAATTACGAAGAAACCTGAAGAGCCTAAAGCCGACGTTCGGCCCTTTGAAGCAAGGCCTTTTCCAGCTCTTGGGGTTCATTCTGAGGTTCTGACCCTTGAGATACCTACAGACTCATACTGTACCCCCTTTTTCTAGGTAACTACTTCTTTATGTAATGAAGATCTGCAATTTAGGCAGTTAGGTAACCGAGAAAAGGGGTAGGGTATGAGCCTCTAGGTGGGGTTGGTGAGGTCAGGCAGACACGGATTTCAGTTGAAGAGCTCGCAGGGCCCAGAGACAGATTTTGTCGGTACTTGACCGACCAACGATAGGCTCCTTTGAGGCACATGAACATGCTTGTCCAAGTAGACCTCGGTGTTACATGTATGACGTTACATTTATGTCCAGAGGTGGCGCTACCGCTCTCTGCCGGGAATCATGGTGTCATCGTCGGCGCCTCACTCCGACTGCATCAGTTCAAGTTGCCTACAGTCCTGCAGAGTTGGAATATATTGAGGTCGAGGTGTTGAAGCCTTGGTTGCGATTGGTATCCAAAAAGGGTGAGTTCTGATTATACCCAGCCCTTCCACGAGCATCCAAACCTGTTTCAGCTCCTGGGCGATCAGAGTTTTTCATTTGCGACAGAATCTCAACACTGCATCCTTCGTGTTCTACGTGCAGGAGCACAAATGGACACTGCAGCAGTATCTGTAGCTGCTGACGGTCAAGCGGATGCAAAGGGTCAGAGACTTCGGAGGTTCATGTTGAGGATTCAAAGGCCAAGAAAGGGGTTCGATTGAATCAGGCCTCCTCGTTCGATTAGAAAGGTATAGCGAAGCGAGCTGGGCGCTCGACCAGCCCCATGCGGCTCGACATAAAGCATTCCCAGGAACGATACCCCATTGCGTGAACCTGGTAATTTGGCACTTCTTGCCGGTTCTTGAAGCAGCTCCGTGCGAGCCAGCGCATTACAAAAAAAGACTTGACGTCTGAGCAGTTGGGGATGCAGAAAGGCTTCTGGTTTCTGAAATCCCTTACCGGGACCATACCCCTACTGCCCTACATGCAATTCCTTGCACTCGGACCTTGAGTTCAGGAGGGCACTGCCCTGGTAGCTGCCGGTGGGTGTGTTGTCAAGCTAGGATTGTTGTTCCTCCTGTTGTGTCCTTTCGGCGGAACCAAACAGACAAGTGACTGGCCTTAGAGCTCTGTGGCTCTAGGGGGTTTCAGTTTACAGGTTTCTGTGCATTCTCAGTGTCTGGGATTCGGAGCCTTCGGTTTAGGCTCAGCTTGTTGAAATTGATGTGGAGCCAAGATTCGGTGCTTCCTTTCTTGGGCTTGGGGCTCTGAAGCTCCGATAGTTTTTGCCGCGTGAGGTTTCGAAAGAGTTTTGCTTCAGAGTTTGCTTTTGTCATGGGGTCCGGAGGGTGGGGGGGCTTCCGGCACTATTCTGTCTAGACTGGTCCTGGTCGATGTGTGCATGGGTTTAAACAACTTGTTATTGCGGATTTGATGTGCAAAGTGCAATATAAGGTTGCCTAGAACTGTACAAACCACAAACATGTTCTGTGAGGTTTGTGAGCATTTGCCCATCCAGTGCTCTAGTGGCTCGAAAATACAGCCGAGAGACCCCGAGTTCCTCTAAGGGTCCTTGCTCGTGTTGCTACAGTGAACGAGTGCGTTTTGCTGAAGGTGCTTCGTGTGGTGGGATCCAATAGGCTTTTACCTTGGGGCAGGCTGGCGAGGTTTACTTCTGGAGTCGTAATGTGGCTGAAGGCCACCCGCCCTCTGAACTCCAAACCAAACCACAAGTCCTACCAAACCCGCACTTTCAAACCGAGCCGAAACCATAGCCCTACAAGTCGACTTTTCGGACCTGGCTCTGCGATTTTCTCCCGTGAGGAATGGTGTGGCTTTGACAGACGACCTCGGGCAGCTGGCACGGCACTGAAGCGAGGGATGTAGATAAGAATAAGAACAGTTCTCGCTGCCAGGTTAACCCACTTCTCTGTCAAGCTAACAAGCGTTGAGAAGCTTGTCAACGTAGCCAGTTTGACCGACCAGCTTGCAAGTTCTCCCTATATTCCCCTTTCTCAGCCAGCAAGCCGAGTGAGAACTCGGAACTCTGCGATTTGTTTGCTTCAACTGTGTTCGCTATCTCATGGAGGCGGTCATAATATTGCCGGAGTCCACCCGCGGATCGTTGGATCTTGTAGGTTTTGTCTACCTTTGTGAGCCTTTTATCAGTGTAACACCAAAGTCCATCCGTAGGTCATTGGATCTTGGTATACTTTTTCATACTCCAACATCCACCTTGAAGTGTAGATCCTTTTATCTTAATTGGTATATCGTATGAGCGCTGGTACATCAGCGATCTTGCAAACTGGACGTGTCAGAGTTGCCATCCGAACTCCTTTTTGCATGATCTCCAGGCCACGCGTTCCCAGTCCTTGGCCCGGGCCTTATGCGTATGGTGATGGCAGATTGTGTTCTCTCCAATACCAGCTCCATACGGCCTATATGCCCTTGTCAGATAAGATCTATACTAGAAGAATGCGTGTATGCACGTACTCGCACATGTGCTTGCACAAGCACATCTCACTCAGACTTTCCGATGCCCGATATCCTGCCGTGTGGTTTTATGATATTTAGAAGAACTCCAGGCCCTCAGACACCACGACATTAGCTTTCGACTTCCTACAAATAGTGGCATATGGTCATCGGCATTTCGGGTCCATCAGAGTGGAGACGGCGGGCCTGTGTGTGGCTTCAGAGTTTCAGGTTTGGCTTGGTGGGAAGTGTGGGAAGCTCACACAAGGCCGTGGAATATCAGAAGCGTCGGTCATAAACGCCCAATCCCGAAAGCCAAAAAGCGTCTCCCACAAGCTGCTAAGCCCAAAAATGTTAGCAGCTACAGCCTATGGGACCTAAACGCACAGAGCCAGAAGCCCTATAGACCTTTAAACTGGCTTAGCCCCAGTACCTCAACACTTAACCGCCGCATGCATACACGGGTTCTTTGTATAATCACAATACCATACCTGAACAAATTTCGCTCACTTTATGGCATACAGTACATCTCCGCAATGATGACCCAGCAAAAGTAGGAGCGGGTGGTGAGGAGTTGTTGTTGTTGTTGTTGTTGTTGTTGTTGCGGTACGAGAGCTTCTGCTGACCCATTTGGCTCAAATGCCCTCGACGCTCGTGCCCTCCCCCATGCCAGCCTGCGATTTCAAGGACAGGGAGGCGCGCGCTCGAGCTCGAGCGCATTGCGCCGGCCGAGCTGCTGCGACCTGGGAAGGAGGATGAGGGGATCAGGCAATCCCCCGAATTCAACGCGGAGCACGTTGCATGTTTTCTGGGCCGTGGTTGCCCTCGAAACCCTAAACCCTTCAATCTCCGTCCACCTTAAACGCAAGCGGGAACCTACAGAAACACCACAAGCCGAATCGAAAGTCACGGTCCACAAGTGCAATCTTTGCGTCAACACTGCAATCGCATGCAGTTTGTCCTGCTGTTTCGCACCGCGGTGTGTCTGTGTCATCTCGTACGACCCCAAACCTCAAATAAGAGACTCCTAAGTTTGGTAACCCGGCCGTGACAACGAATGAGGTGCGAGTGCAGGGCCCGGATCGGCCCAAAATCCCGGAGCAAAGTGCGCCCGGCTCTCAGAGCCGCGTGTAGCAGAGACGCATACTGTCAGAGAGCCGGAGAGCCCCTTTTGGCGTTCAGGGCCCAGAGACAGATTTTCTCGGTGCCTGACTGACCAACGATAGACACTTTTGAGGCACATGAACATGCTTGTCCAAGTGGTCCTCGGTGTTGCATATATGGCGTTACATTTGTGTTCAGAGGTCGCTATACCGCTCTGTGCCGGGAATCATCGTTGCATCGTCGGCGCCTCACTCCGACTGCATCAGTTCACGTTGCCTACAGTCCTGTAGAGTTGGAGTATTAAGAGGTCGAGATGTTGAAGACTCGGTTGCGATTAGTATCCGATCAGGGTGAGTTCTCATTTAACCCAGCCCTCCCACGAGCCCGATGCCCCAGTATCTCAACACTATGCCCGGTGCCCGGTAACCTTAAGATGCATACACAGGTTTTCGTAAAATTACAATACCCGAACAGAGCAAGCTCCCGAACCCCTGTGCATCACCCCTCACAAACTGTATACAGTACAATACATCTCCGCATTGATGACCCAATAAAAGTAAAGCCTTCGAGCGCCCCAAACCCGACCCCATCCATGCGCAGCGGCAGCATTAGTAGTGGAGTGGGTGGTGGGGAGTTGTTGTTGTACGAGAGCTTCTGCTGACCCATTTGGCTCAAATGCCCCCGATGATTGCGCATTGCTCTCTTGTCAGCGATTTCGAGGACAGGGAGGTGCGCGCTCGAGCTCGAGCGCATTGCGCCGGCCGAGCTGCTGCGACCTGGGAAGGGGGATCATGGGATTTGGGGTTTCTCAAAATCCTCGGAGCCCGAAGCGGCTTCCATTACGTTAACGAGGCGTTAGTCCCAATACCTAAAAACCCTAGAGCCCTCAGCCTTGGACCCGCTACTGCAAACCTTGCACCCCATCCTCCACACCTTGTACGGAACCGGCAGGTTTATCTTCGACATACAGAGGCCGGACACAAACCCAAACTCCAACCGAACGCAACAAGAACCCTAGGCCTAAATGGTCAAACCCAGACTGGTGTTGAAGTCTAGGCCCTACATCGGAGTTTATGCCCCAAGCGCTGGACCTTAACGCCCATAGCCACAGGACCCAAGAACTTGAAGACCCATAGCCCACAAGCCTAAACACCATGCACTGAAGCTGATTCGCAAAACCAGGGCCCTATCAACCCGAAAACCCAACCGGAACTGCGGCACCTAGACCCCGAAGCCCTTAACCAAGTGTGCAACGTTGCATGGTTTTTTGCCAGCCGAAACCCTAGCCCCGAACCGAACCTTTCTGCCAGCCGTCCCTGCCGCAAGGAGCCCATCACCAGCTCTTTCAGTGGCCTGGCGGAAGCCTGGAACCGTAATCGCGAAGGTGTAATACAGACTTACACCATTGCAATGGGTCTCTGCGAAACGCCCCACGGTCTCGGTCGTCTAAGGGGTGGCATTGGCACACCGTGGTGAGAACTAAGCATAGCATATTATTCCATAGGCACACATGCTCCGTACATGAGGAACCATGCGAAGTTCATATCGAACAAGTACAACATAGAGTATTGGGTTCCAGGCCCCGAGAGCAGGCCAGGTTTGCGGTTTGCGGCCTGGTCACATCGTAAGCGCCAAACCGAGATCGGAAATTCTTGGGATGGTCCGGACCCAATGATGCAACACCGCTTACTTACACGCGCCCTGAGACCCAAGCCCGATGTAATCATAAACCCAGAGATGCCAGTATGAAGCTCCATCATGCAGTAACTTCCTTAAGTCGAATTGCATGGCAAGAAGATTGCCAGTGTGATTCTGGGCACCAAAATAAGACAACAAGTGCTCGAATGAATCCAAAACCGCTTCCGGCACCGGTGAGAACAGGACCTCGACCCTGCTCTTATAGGGTCTTGGTATTGCTCATGCTTCCAGCTTCAAAGTTTTGTGCCGGGGTTGTGATTTTCAAGGTCTTCTGGTCTGCACGAGCTGTCGGGAGCAACGTTTGGGATCGAGGGTGTTGGGAATCACGACGGTGTATGAGTGCCTTTCTCACGCTCTCCTTGGGAATAGGATTTCAGACTTCAGGGCAGGTTCAGGGTCGAGGGCTTTGCAGGTTCGGCGTGGGGTGTTAAGGAATGTCGTGTTTCATGGGGTAGTAAGAGTTCTTGAGGGTTCGCGGCTTTAGGCTTTAAGGTTCAGGATGTGGGGATCTGGATTGAAGGCTGTGAATTTACGGCTTGCATGGGAGCTTCGTTCAGGGGTTCACAGCGTAGAGGTTTAGGTCTTGCCGTTCAGTGTGTAAGTGCCATGCACATCCAGGTTTGCTGCTGACTGCTTACTTACATCCCGTCCCGAAGTCTGGAGCCCCTGCCCTAAACATGCAACCCTTGGACTCGACCATGCTCTCAGACTACGTCTGGAGACCGGGACTGCCTGCAATGGCTGTCGCTTGGCTCTATCTGTTCTTCTTTCTGCCAGGTCAACCATAACTACGTGAAGGATTGAAACTAGAAATGCTGAACATGTTGCCATGTTTGTGGCTGATTCAGCAAAATGGTGGCCCCACGAGAGTTGTTCTAGCCTGCGCTCACAACAGACGAATCAAGTGTGCAGACTTGTTGTGGCACACTTGATCTTCAGTGGCCGCGTGGCTGATCAAGCTCCACAGGGACGCGGTTCAAACTCGCAACAGTGTAGTATTTCAATTTGGGAATTCCGCACCTGTGGATCATCCTTGAGCTTTGATGTCTTGGTTGAGCATAGGGGCCTGAATAGTTTCGATAGAGTTGCTCTCAGGGTTCCTGTGAGGGTTACTGTAAGGTTTTTTGGCCCCTTCAATCTCTTGGACCTGGACTTAAGGGTCTCCAGTCCCAAAGACGGAATTTAGGTTGTCGGCCTTGCCCTCGGCTTGCAGGTTTGGAATTTCGTCTTCCAGCAGGAACTGCGAGGCTTGTTGCAGACATTGGGTTTTAGACGAGAGTGTCGGGCGATAACATGCCGGATTTGCTGTGCATGTAAACCTTGCCTTTACACAAGCTCAGTGACCGAATGCTTGCAACAGGCGGCTTCCAGTTTGTGGGACCTTTCCTCTTTGTCTATGTGGAAGCGACCCAGCATGGACTTCTAAGTTCAGTGGTAAAGGTCACGGCACGCACAAGTCCCGAATCACGAGAAAGCAATTCGCAAGACCAGCTACTGGTCCAAACTCGTGGCCTAGTGGCAGATTGAGGGTGCAGGAGCAGACACCTTGGTTTGTGTGCTTGCATGCCTGCTGATGACTTATTTCGCGAAGCCGAAGTTGCTCCAACATTACTGCTCCTCATTCTCTCAGGGCATTGGACCGGTTCCAACGCCTCCACCATGCACCACGGCACCTCTGTACTACGAACCTTCTCTTCCGCCACCACCCTCATGGCATCTTGGTCCAAGGGTTTTGTGGGTGGGATTGTCCTGTCGTCACTTTGCTGGGACTTGGGATCCGGAAGCAGCCGCCGCGATTTGTGAATTAGAAGCATTCTTTCGGAAACGAAGCTGCAGGAAGCAAGCTAGATGGGCAAACTTAGACGAATCAGAATAGGCAGCTACATGATGGCTACATGTTGACTTCGGGTGAATGTGGCTTTGGAGCTGGGGCTGAGATTAGGGGAAGTCTTTCCATAACACATGCAGTTACTTCGGGCTCTCGGACCTCTTCTTCCCCCAATTCCACTTGGAAAGCAGAAGATTGGGCCCTGAGTTCTCTACCCCGGAGTGGAAGCTCCATGGCTGAGCCCGGGACCGTCCAGCCTGAACTAAGGCAGGCATGAGACGCAACACAGCTGGTTTGGTAGTCATGGGCTCGGGTCTGGAGCAGTAAATACGTTGGAGTTTGGGGATTGATTCATTGGCTGTTGGTTGTCGAAAGGCTTTCCCAACCTTTATTCAGGAGCAGGCCGCTTTTGGATCTGCACTGCACAGTTTCTATGGTTCGTAGTCGTCGAGTAAGGGATAAGATTCAAGGGAACGTTTGAAGGTTAAGGAGTTGATCCGAAACATCGACCCGATTGCGCAGCGTTTCACTTCGATAGGCTGTTGCAGTGTTGTGGACCATGCAAGCCCCGACAACACGACGTTTTTCAGATTCAGGGGTCCAGGCACGAAGCGTAGTGACCCCATGCTGCCTGCGACATGTCGTGTCCGAAGCTTGCTGTGTTGCATGCGATCTCCGGCGATACTTTTCGTGGAGTCTAAACATCGGAGTCTCAAATTGCCGAGATCTTGATTTCCGTGCTTTAAAGCCGTCTTCTCTTTAGAGCGCTGATGTTCCTTTCAGGCCGGCGGTTTACGGATACAGCTGGGTTGAGGTTCGGGTTGGCCCAGCCCCGCTATATCCGGTAATCGACAAGTGTTGGTTTGCTCAAATCAGTGTCAACCTGCAACTTAGGCGATTGGTGGCAAATGCAAGCTGCAGCTGCACTCTGCATCTAAAGCCGGCCTGTACAAAAATGGCTTCTGCAAAAAGCAGCTTGCCCCCATGGTCTCTGATGCCAAAGTGCAGCGGGTCCGCGTGAACAGTGCGGGCGACGTGTCTTCCCAGAGATGTGCACGACTTGCCTCGACAGTTTCTACTGGGACAAATTCTTGCTGTTGCTTACACACATGTCATCATGCCTTGATGTTTGCATGTGCTTCGGCGGGGGCGGGGGTGGTGAATGCCCGCTTACACCGAGTTTGTACGGGTTCTAGGTGACGAGTGATTCATCATGGCGTGGCTGTTGAGACGCCGGCTGAGGGTCTGGATTGCCCTCAAGAAGTGAAGGTTCATCTGTCCCCTAAATGGATGAGGTGGCGAAGTTTTGGATGCTATTTTGCTGAGCAAGGTCACTTCTCGTACGGATGTAGAGCTCTAGTTTTTTTCATCCTCAAAGCCGTCAATGTTCACAAAGAACTGTTTCGGATGCAGGGATCCGCCTTCAACAAGCCTAAGCCTAAGCAGGCCTCGAGATGAGATTTTACATATTTCACTTCAAATTCCACGAATTCCTGGTAGTTCAAGCCGCATGCCTCCAGATTGCTTTGAAGCGTGTAGAGTCCTAACGGTACGATTCGACGGGCGACTGTTCTTGGAGACGACTACCGGCTACAAAGCCGAAACGAGTTTGGGCATGGTTGACCGCACGGGCGTGTTAGCCTTTGAAATGGGCTGCCACGCACAAGCTGCTACCTTCCTGATTTTGCCAAGGCACCCTAAACCCAACACAACAGGTTAAACCACGGCCTGGCTTGACAGGGGATGCCTCGTTTTGCCAGTGTCGAAGGGTTGGACCTCAACAGAGAGCCAAGGGCCTACACCCTGAACTGCTAAGACCTGCTCCATGAACTGCTAACCCGAAGACCCTAAAACCTAAACGCCCTAGAGCCCTAAAACCCTGAAGCCCTAAAACCCGCACCGAATGCTTAAACCTTCGACGCAACTGTTTGTGAGCCTCAGGCGACTGTCTGTGCCGACTGCTGGCCACGCAGAGAGGTGCCGGCTGCCCTTGCGCACAGGAAGTCGCACATTCAGTATGTAGTGATTTAATGGTTTGGCATTTAGTAGCGAGGTTATGTGTAGGGTCTGTTGTAGGATCATTCCAATTTTGGCAGCTTTTTCCGGTGCCATGCCGCTGGCGAGTATCCGGATGAGATTTTCCGATGCTTCTTCAGCCATCACTTGTGTACTTCAATGTGCTTATTCGAACATGCACCCTCGTCAACCCCTGAGTATGACAAGCTATGTCCCTTGTCCCATACTTCAGTCCATTCACCGGAAGCCGATGTGCTGCCTTTGGAGTTCGCAAAACCGCAAACTGCAAGCTGTTATCCGCAAGTTGCAATGCAAAAGTAACCATTTGCAAACTTTTGGGGTCGGCCGCACTTCCCTAAGCTAGAAAGCCTCTGCAACCGTTGAATCAACGGCCTGGCTGCATGGAGAAGCTGACTATTCGCTCGTGCCACGAGCTCAGTAATTACCGAGGAACGGGTGGGGTTTGGATTTAGGTGCGTAGTGGCTGCGACACGCCCTGTTCGGGAGAAACCGATGGCAGGACTCCCGTCTGTCTTCATGCAAGCCCTAACCTGTGCCCGATACGATCGACAAAAGGATGCAGGCATGAAGAAACCTTGGTATCAGTTGCACTTGCCCCTTCAATTCGTCAACTCGTTACTGTCATTTCCTGGTTATCATGCTGAATGTTGCGCGCGACATCTGTGCTTTCGCCAAGATCACTGCTGTGGTGGATTTTGAGTGGTCGTGGTAGTAGTTGCCATCGCTGATGCTGGAGAAGTTGTTGTATTGTAGAGTAATTTCAATGATGTGTGCATGATGAAACCCGGGTTTGCACACTCGTTGCTGGCACTTCCTCCATGAACGTTGCAGTCAGCACGTCGGGTTTTAGCTCTGGCATGGTCTTCAAGCCGTCTCCTCTAAGCTCTTGCTCATTGAAGCCTTGGCTGGCAGAATCGTCGTGGTTGCTGGAGCAACTGCAGAAGCAGCAATATATGGTGCGGTTCCACGCTTTTGGTGGTCTTCTGTGTGCCATAGTGAGCTTGCCCCAAAATCCAAACCATCGCACCCTAAAGCCCAAGCCATGCCAAGCCCCAAATCCTAAACTTTGTGAGAACCTTTCTAGAACCCTCGTAGAGCCATGAAGCACCCTGTCATGATCCTATCAGACCTGCCAAGCATGTGGCAACTCATTGCTGAAAAAACTGAAGATCGTTGCCTTCGCGCGCTGCATCTTCAAGGGCAATGGAGGCTACGCAGGGCATTGGCTTGGCTTCAACCGCAAACCCGAAGCCCACCAACCTCCAAAGCTGAAAAGCCCTTTGCTACTGTTCTTGTCTTCGGATCTTGTTGCTTCATCGGGCCGGACTGAGAGCTTCGGCTTTAGTGTCCAAGTTCGCTGAAAGTCGAGGACTTCAATGGGCTGAGGGGTTTGGGGTTTTGGGCTTAGGAGTTGAGGAGTCTTGGGTCTTCTTTGCGTTTTTTGGGGGTTTGGGAGTTATTACTCGGTTTCCTTTAGACAGAGTCGGGGAGTCTGGAGGTTTCGGGTCTGGTGCCGGTTTAAGGGTAGGAGCTTCGTAATACTTAAGATTCAGAAACTCGGGGTAACAAGCTAGGGGTAACAGGTTTAGGGTTTAGCGTCTAGGGGTTTGGGCTCTAGGGTTCAGGTGCCAGCTGGGAGGGAGGCTTCTGTTGTGTCGCAGGACCGCGAACCTGCCTGACAGCCTCTTTCCCAGCCCATGATCCAGAATGCTTTTCCAAGATTCATCAACATGGCTCTGAAACAGCATTTTTTCAAAATTTGTTGACTTGTTTCATGCTGGCTGAAAGGAGCTTCCCTCGAGAGTTCCAAGCTACTGCTTCCTCCACTCCATCCCCTCGCCAGGTCCGGTGCGACGGTCTTCCACAGAGTACTTCCTCTCAAACTTTAGTTTTGAGGATCTGGGGTTCGAGGGTGTAAGGATGGGGCTTGGGGTTTTGGGTGACAGGGCTGCAGATTTCACGATTTGGAAGATTACGGTTCGCATCAGACCAGGACTGAGAGCAGTGACGGAACGATCCCGAGCTTAGCCGCATGCAGTAGTAATGGCATTCGTGGGCGTATAGTAGTAGTAGTAGTAGTAGTAGTAGTAGTCGTCGTCGTCGTCGTAGTAGTCGTAGTAGTCGTAGTAGTAGTCGTAGTCGTAGTCGTAGTCGTAGTCGTAGTCGTAGTCGTAGTCGTAGTCGTAGTCGTAGTCGTAGTCGTAGTCGTAGTCGTAGTCGTAGTCGTAGTCGTAGTCGTAGTCGTAGTCGTAGTCGTAGTAGTAGTCGTAGTATTTAGTAGTAGTAGTAGTAGTAGTAGTAGTAGTAGTAGTAGTAGTAGTAGTAGTAGTAGTAGTAGTAGTAGTAGAACGATTTTACACAGCCCACCTAGCGAGAGTACCAGCAGGAGCAGCAGCAATAGCAGCAGTAGCAGCAGTAGCAGCAGCAAAAAAATCTATGAATGCTATCATTATCATTAGTAGTAGCAGTAGTAGTCGTCGTCGTAGTGGTAGTGGTAGCAGTGGTGGCAGCAGTAAACGTAGCAGTCGTAGCGGCAGTACCAGTAACAGCGGCAGCAGAATCAACAGCATCTGAAGTTTTCTGTCGTCTCAGCAAGTCTCACCATCTCACACGCTGTATGCAACTGACTGGGTGCAGTCCGGCAGAGAACATTCAGAAAACTCTTGCAGCAGCATCATTTGTTGACAGCGTTGAATCGCTACATTTTCCCCTCTCCTGGTGTGAAGCTTTGTTTTCTCCACGGTTGTACTGAATACAGAGCTCGATCCAGAATAGTGATTCGTCTTCCGACATTTGAGCACAGGACCGGGGAAGCCTATACAACTCTTGACATGGGTTCTGTGAATGGCATGGACCGAATGCCGCTTGTTGTTGGCAGGCCGTTGCAGGTAATCGCGCAATGTTAGTGCGTCCTCGCTTGCCATGCTGAGGGCACAATGAGCCTTCTCCGGATATCGGGTTAAGGAGGTGGTTCCCCCAGGCCTACAGCATCAGGCAGAGGCTAGCCAAGCAACGAAGGTGATACGGCCCCAGCATGTGATAGGCTAGACCGGTTGGCTCAAGCAGAGCCCCGGCTGCAACGTTTCTCGACCTTCGAAGCAAGGCATTCGGTGCGCCTAGGTGCGAAAACAAGAGAGATCTCAGCGATCTGCTCCTGTCTGTTTGAGTTCAACTCTCTAGATACTGTCGTCCCAGAATCTACGGGATTTGAATCGGCTCGCCCTACGAACCATCCGGCTGCATGCTATGACTCTGACTGTCGCTAGGAGGGTAGCCTCATACGGTCTGGCCTCGCAGGGACAAAGCCGAGTTCGAAGTGTTAGTAGGCTCTGCCACGCAGCCGATACACAGCTGTCGTATGCGAAGGTGCGCACAAGGCAGCAATAATGTGAAGAGATCAATCGACCCTCGACACACTGCTGTCACTTCTCAGCACTGTAGGCCCTGTGGGGCTCCGAAGCTGACCAAACATCCTGAAACACTGTTTGCAAGTAGGGCTTAGAGTTGGTCTGGCTTTCTTTGTCGAGTCTTGGCTTGTTGCATGGCCCGTCGCACTCAACTGCAGCATTGGCACTCACCTGTGTGTCGCCGGGTTTGATGTTTGGCTCAGTATTCGGAGCTTGGCACGTCCCCAACCTCTAGCGCCAGCCATCACACCGCAGCCCCGAGCACTCCCCTTTGGGAGTCTGTTGGGTTCTCATGTTCCGGGGCTCCGACCTGCTAGAGGGATCCGAGTCCGAAGCATCAGGTGCCCCCATAGCCATGTACTACACACGTGTGGCTCGGGCGCATATACAGGAATCCTTGTCCTCTTCATCATCAACAAAACTGCTGTCATCAGTTGAGAGAGCTGGGCAACCGAGCCAAACTGCCTCATTGAAGCAATTTCGCGGCACCCAAATCCAGCAAGTTCGCGAAACAGCACCAGGAGCGAACCTCAGTTGCGACTCAAACCCTAGCACGCAGCTCACTTGAGAAGCTCTGACTCCCCGTGTTCCCTGCACCAGCCCGCGGATGTTCATCAGGACTTCGCCGGAGTCGTTTGCTGCCAAGTGCCTCTCATGCGCTTGCTCATGGTTGCGGGTTTGGGCTGTTTAGGTTCAGGGCTTATAAACTTGAGGCTTCAGTGGTGGACAGAGGTGTTGCACTTTTGTCACTGCTCTAAATGGGAACAGCTACTATCAGGTACTTGGAACGTTTGGGCAGCGCCCTTCCACCTGATGCTGTGCAGACCACAGTCGTCCGCTACTCAGAACCCATGTGTACATAGATAGATATATGTTTGGATGTAGACATATGCCTGTATGCATGCATGCATGCATGCATGATTGTATGTAGTGTATGCATGCAGTGCTACTGCTGATGGAGTTTGTAATCCTATAGTTGCATATTTACATATACACCGATATCGATGGGTCTTCGTGTGCATATGTATATGTATACCTAGACATACACATATGTATGCCTATGCATGTGTATATATATATATATATATGTATACATGTGTATGAGGTATCCCTTTATGTGTTTGTGTGTACCCGTGTATGTGTGTATGTGTGTTTGCATGTATAAGTGTGTATGTGTGTGTGTGTGTGTGTGTGTATTCAACAAAGGCTTGACGGTCTATTTGGCCATGCCTGGATAGAGCTGCAACCGTATTAATTAATTCAGGAAACAACAGGAGTCAGGTCACTTCTATTACATAGTTAGTTGAACCAATCCAATCTGCCCGGGGATTCCTCATGCAAGCTACTCGATCACATTGAGTACTTGAACTGTCTGAATCGCAGCCACGTGCTGAGGGAATCCGGAGATTCTTCCCGATTCAAAGCCATTTAAATAGTTCAACTAATTCAGCCGATAGCGTATTTCCAATAGTCGCCCGATAGAGCTCGCAAGGGATAAAGCTAGTGAGAGCAATTTGGCGCAAGCCCAAAATCAAGAACCCTACCTAACCTATGCAGTAGCTATAGTCACGAATTTGGT